CCCTAACTCTGCTGATGGGTCTTCAAGGTGTTTAATTGCCAGCTTCATGGGAGATGGACAGGCAAGAGATGTTACACCAAATTCCAGAGCGACAGAAAAAATTCCAGAAAATTCCTGATTCCAAATTCCATACTGCCAGAGTGACAGTAAAGGTACAAGGCAATCTCCTCATGTCTGCTTAACCTCCTCTGTAACAGCTTATAATATTCCATAAGACAGTGGGGGAGTATGTGTGGATAGATACTAGCACCTCTGAGGAGCTGATGAGCTGGAACCAGCTGGCCACTACTGACTCTGATGCTGTTTGATGCTTTGACTACTTCTTGATCCCATTAGTTAAGCTTTGTTCGAGAGAACAGTATCAGAAAATTCTAGCAAAATCTGACAGGCAAGTAAACATGACAAAGCAATAACAGGATACTGTAGAAGAGTAGAAAATGTATCACTGGACCTGAAAAAAGTAATTTTGAATTAAAATTAGCTTTGACACATGACTAAGTCAGACAGTAGAAAAATTGAAGTTGGAAAAGCTTTTAAGTGGACAGAACTGTGATCCTCAAATGGAGGAAAACAAATGCAAAAAGAGCTAAAATGAAGATAAAATCAAAATTAAATACAAAGCCATCTTTCACTGATGAAAAATTAAATCTTGAAAGAGAAGGAAGATGTGTTACATTTTCAGTGGAGAACAAACAGTCTTTCCAGCATGTATCTCAAACAACAGCTGCAATGGTAATACATTCTGAGTTTTGCAGTGAATGGAATTGTATATTTTTTTCTTTTTATTTGTTTTACATGTGTTTGATCAGTTGACTAAATTTTATTTCACTGTTTTAAAAGATTTTAAATTTATTAACTGAAAAATTAATAACTCTCTAGTACTGTATGCAAACTCTTTTCCTGCAAGCCTCTGAGCCTAAGAGCATTAAGAATAGGAAATTCTAATTCAAAGAGAGTGCCAGAGAACAATGAAAGGGAAAGAGAGAGGAAGGATTAATCATGTAATCACTTTTCCACTTACACTTTTAAGGTAACGTAATTCATGGGAAAAGGCCATTACCTCCATCTTTACATGTAATTCAGAACTAGTTATGTCAGTCCAGGAAGGGACTATAAACAAGTTCATCTCATGTCAGAATCTTCTAGAGCAGGGTTTCTTTCAGGCATACATATGTGTAAATTTATGTCTGGTTTTTGTTTCAACATTTCTTTTGATAGAAAATTAGTTTTGACTAGATCAACCCGAATGATTAATCAATTTCATTCGTGGACTGTTTTCACTTTTATGTGATTTTCCTAAGCCAGGGACCACTCATTCTGAAAATCGACTAAGCATCTTGTGATCCACCTCAATGATTTGCTGTCTACAGGAAACATTCACCAGCAGTCCTCAAAGGGAGGCAAAATGATGATGTGGTTCTAAACTCAGCGAGAGTTTGGATCAAGACACAACTACTTCACAAAGATGAAAAAATGTTGTAATTGTTGGAGGATTGAATCCATGGGGAGCTGAATACCTTTGAGAGAGCTGAAACGTGACTCATAACACAGACTGCTCCCAGTGAATTGTTGTATGCTGATTCAGGGGAGGATACCCCTGAATCCCCTTACAAGAGCTCAAGGGAAGGTGTTGGCCAAGAGCTATTGCATTTTATAGACAGAAAATTCAATGCTCTGTTGTATTCTGAAGGTGTGAGAGGAGTCAGTGACTCCTTAGTCAGCCTGCTCCACCAGGATTTCCTGCAGGAATCTGCTGCCCATGATCCCAGCTGGCACAGGGTTTCCTGACTAAGTGCTGAAGTACTTCCAGGGACCTCTGATGCAGAACTTAGCCAGCTTTTCCCATGATCTTTGTTCATGTTATGCAACCATTCTTCCCTGTTGATAATTTCTTACAGATGTACATCCATAAGGCTCATGAATCTTTCTAAATTTTGATAAAATACATACCTTAATGAATTCAAGAGTCCTTAAGTTTGTTCTAGTACTGGACTTTTAGGAATCAATGACTAAGATTCCTAAAAGTGACATTTAACATAGTGGTTGTGTTGTATTATGCTGCTTGTCTGATACACCAACTGACAAGAATATTTAAACATGGAAGTTCTTAAAACTCAGTTAAAAGGATATTCACTTGATCCAACTCCTCTAAAATGAATGTACTGTTTTTCCGGGATTCACTGTGGGTATGGATAATGATCCTTCCACAGAACACAGAGTATCAATAACCATGCTCTTGAAAAACTGTCAGAGTGCAATTCATATTGCTGGACACAGCTGAATTCAGCCAAATACTGCCAGTTACAACATCCTTTAAAATATCAAAAAGCAGAAGAACTGCACATCTATTTTTACACCTGCCTAGGGCTTGTACACTGTTTATGCAATTTTATTCAAGCTGACTTGCCTTATGAAAAAATTTGGAAAAAACCCAATGTTTTATTTACAGGCAGTTTTGTTTGCTATCATACTTTTTCTTTTTATCCATTAATTTTGTTTAGAAAAAACTGGCTAAAAAATTTTATCATCTGATCTTTGAAAACTTATCTTGTTATACTTGTTATATCTCTTGTTATGGTTTTAAATGCTTCCATGAGGCATTAGCAATTCTAAGAGAAATTAAATTGTATTTATATGATAAACACTACCATGTCTTTTCAGCCAAGGGTCTACAGTGAATTTCAAAAATTGTATTGTAATGAGTAAAAACCACACCTTGTGAAGCCAGCTTATATGTCCTATTCTGATGTTGGACCAAAATTAGATTGTCAGGAGTCCAAGAGAGTGAATGACAGCATCATTCACACGTCTTCCTTTTGTTCCTACCTACATCTGGCAAAAAAAGCGAGACTACAAAATCCACAGACAAATTCTCTATCTTTACCCATTATTATTGCATCAAAAATATCCAGCAGACCAAGTTCTCTATCAATCTAACTTTGTCCGAGCCTAGGTGGATCATGCCTAATCATGAGAATTAGTTTAACTTCGATAACCTGCATGTGGTGCTGCTCACACTCTGGGGGAAGTGAGAGACCTGACAGGCTTGAGAGAGGGGCCCTGCCATGGTATGGACCTCCTGAAGTTCAACAAGGACAAGTGAAAGGTCCCGGGGCCAGGGCAATCCCAAGAATGAATACAGGCTGAGTGGAGAATGGATTGAGAGCAGCCCTGAGGAGAAGGACTTTGGGATGCTTGGGGGATGAGAGGCTGGACATGACCTGGCAAGGCGCAGCCCAGAGAGCCAAGTGTGTCCTGGGCTGCATCCAAAGAAGTGTGGCCAGCAGGGCCAGGGAGGTGACTCTCCCCCTCTACTCCATTCTGGTGAGATCTCCACCTGGAATTCTTCATCCAGCTCTGGGTTCCCCAACACAGCGAGGGCATAGACCAGAGTAGGGCCATGAAAATATTTAGAGGGATGGAATGTCTTTCCTATGTGGTTGGTAGAAAGGCTGAAAGAATTGGTGTTGTTCAGCCTGGAACAGAAAGATGGTAGGTTTAGATTAGATACAAGGAAGAAATTCTTTACTGTGAGGGAGATGAGACACTGTCCAGAGAAATGGTGTATATCCCATCCCTGGAGTTGTTCAGGGCCAAGTCGATGGGGCTGTAAGCAACCTGGTCTGGAACCTCTGCTCATGCCAGGGAGGTTTGAATTAGATGAACTTTAAGATGCCTTGCAACCCAAAACATTTTATGACTCCAAGATCTGCCAATTCAGTAATTTGTTCATTCGTTCGTTCATTCATTCATTCATTCGTTCATTCATTCATTCATTCATTTGTTCATTCATTCATTCTCCTTCCTCCTAAGACCCTTCAGTGTCAGTACACTTCCTGGTCTTGACACCTCCCCAGACTTGCAAAAGTACTCACAGCATTCTTTCAGATGCTGACAATTAAACAGGACACAGATCAAAACTTGTGATGCCCTAATAAACCACTGCTTTGGACTTAAAACATTTATTAGCAACAACTTTAATCATCTGGACCCAGAAACCATCCAAGAGAAGAACTCCCAGTCACTTCCTTGCAAAGAAGATATTTCTGCTAGATTTTGACTTCTCAGGTAACTATTACAATGCTATATTCTTTAGAATTTTTTGGGAAAAGTGACTAGAATTTTTTGGGAAAAGTGACTTTGGGAATTTTACTTTAAAGCTTCTCTAAATCTTCCTCTAAAAACTGAAACAAAATGGTTGTGAAAGCTCTTAAATGAACACTGACAAGCAACTTCTTTAAATACCCACACATTCTCAGACTTACTTTCTTGCACCACTCTTTCATCTTGTATAAAACTTAATAGATGACATATTTCATTCCACAAGTTGACAATGTTAAAAATGTGCTATTCCTTCTAGTTTTAGTATACTGCAAAGCTAGTGATAGCTACAGGCACTATGAGCGATATACGACTGAAGAAAAATGAGATTACTGCTGATAAGAAACAAGAGACTTTCATATCTTAAAAGAGCCTGAAATCCCGCAAATACGATCCCCAGCAGCAGATGCCCCTCAGATAGACAATGAAAGAAAAATGGTGGAAAAGTACTCAATATGGCTTGTTGTTTCCTACAGCTGGAATGACAGCAAAATGAAATCACATGCTGCCTGCATGAAGAAATCCTACCTCTTTGGGAAAAACATAACCCAAGGATGACTAACAGCCTAACAAAGCGAGCAGTAATTTTCCACACTGAGAAAAGTGATGTTACTCTGACTCACCTTCTTTGATAAAAGATTCCTTTACTCAGGAAGTGTTGCTCTTTTGAAGGCTATCATGCTGTTATCATCAAAATTTATCATAATAAAGATGAATTTAATGGAAGTGCAGTACAAAAGCCAAACCTCAGGCTGGAAATATATATTAATGATTCTTTAACAAAAGGAATGAGACATATGCAAATGTGAAATAGCTCCTCTCTCTATTAAGGTGTTCCTGGAACATGAATGAACATAATTTCAAGATGTCAATATTTCATGCTACAGTGCAACCCTTACCTTGTATCCTGATGATTTGATGTGCACTCCTCGCTTGGTCAGTGTAGATTTCATTCGGATGAAAAAAGAGCGCTCTAGAGTGTTGTCAGTGGTTAGCAAACTGGGGTTTGTAGATTCCACTAGGGAATAGAAAAAATACATATACACATAATTTAGATTTTATACATCCCCTCTAAGCTATTTTTCAGGTGCAATCCTTGAACTCACTAAAAATAAATGACTGATGGATGCTAAGAGTGTTGTAATCAATTTACCTCATTTAGAAAATGTTTATTTAGCAAAAAAGAAATTACAAAAATATACATATACTCAGTATGTCTCATTTTCAAGTTATTTTTCCCATAGAATTTTTAACAGAGATTTGTCTCATTAACTCTTTCTTGCCCAATGCAGTTATGACTGGAGTTGGAGGGTATGTCACTAGTGTATGACATTGTTTTAAAAACTGTTTGTCAGTACTTCGTAAAAGGCAAAGTCTCACTTAGGTAGCAATTCTCTCCTGAAATAGGCTGAAAATTCTGCACGTTTTTATTCCCTAGTCTCACCTCAGCTGCAGTGATACCTGAGTTACTGCTGGATTTGTGTGCCTTGGTTTCCACATTACTGAGGGGAAATTAGGGCCTTTATTATCAATAAAGCATTAACAACCTGAAGGCAAGAATTCTCAAGTAAATGACACATATTATTATTATTGTCATCACATCATCCATTGTTGGTGATTAATTAGTCATTAATGAAATACCTTTTTAGTCCAGCTGAAGGGATATTACTTGCTCACAAATAAGTATAGCTCTCACCTGCACTTATCCCTCCCTTAACTGCAACCACTTAAAATACTTAAGACTCTTAGTATAAACCTTCATAAAATATCATCAGCACTGAGGTAATCTTTATACAATCTTTATGATTGCTAATTTTTATTCCTGAAATCAACGTATCCCGAAAATACTGTTAATGGGAAAATTCAGGAGCATCTTACAATAAACAGGCATTATTGGAGATAAAAGAAATTCAATTTCAGTGAGGAATTTACAAGGAATAAAGAAAATATTTTGAAATTGTATTTCTATTGTTTAGGAGAACCATACAAACTACTAGTAGAAAGTGTTTAAGTATTTAAAATGCATTTGTTATGCAGCCAACAGAAAAGCAAAAACTTATTTGTGAGCTAAGGATTATATTGAATTGTCCTTGATTTAATGTGGTCAACTTGTCTTGTGTTTGTGACATTTCAGCTCTATTGTGATAACTGACAACAGTGCCCCTTTCTTTAGTGTGTCTCTTAAGATTTTTTTGTTTTAGAGAGCATGAATTTGATGTCATTTTAAATGTACAGCTCTTTATCACTCGAGGGAAAAGCAGAGCCATGTTATATTTAGTACTTTCATTTCTTCTGATTAAATATGAATTACTATGAAATTTTTCTCATCATCTAACACACCATAATACGCCAACAGCTTTTTAATACACTGTATAAGCACAAACTTCTGCTCTAAGAGTTTAATTTGCCCCTCTAATCCAATCACATCAACCTTATTTCTCTTATCAGAGATTCCCATTTTGAATTAAATGAGCTCATTAGTTTTAATCAAAAGCAGAGAGATCAAAACTTAAACGTAAATGCTTTAGATCAGAACTGTCAGTCAGCCGTGCAGTTCTATTTTACTAAAACACAAGATCAGAGACCCTTAGAACCAATTTTTTCTCGTAAGGGATGCCAAGAGCTTGAAGACGCTATATCCTTTTTTTTTCTCCCAAGGACAGATTATACATTTAAGGTTAGACTTAATTTAGAGTATTTTTTTCATCCTGGTGGAAATGGGAAAGTATGCCATTCTGCTGTTGTCTCTTTCACATTTATTGGTGCAGGTCCTTGGAGACCTGAACAAATGTGAAGCCATCACAATCCATGCAACAAACCTGTCCTCAAAAAATTCAGCTCTGTTCAGCAATATCACATAAGAGATAAAACTCTGAAGGGAAATATATATTTCAGGGTGTGGGACAGTGGAACCCTGAAACAGCAGCCAAAGTCACCCGGAGCAGCAGTACTGGTAAGATGAGGATCATAATTAATTATTATTTTTATTGTAGAGTACAGTGCAGTAGTTAAAGAGTACATTAAGAAACAACAGCATGGGTGCTTCCTGCTGTGTGAAGAAACACTAAAATCAGCTTAACAAGTGTAGTTGTAGTCCAGCACATTATGCTCTAGCACAGGCAGTGAGTACAATATGTCCTCCTGTGTTCTAATGGTAATTACCTAAACATACAGAAGTAATGTTAATTAACCACACAATATCTTATGCTCAAAAAAGATCAGGCTGTAATACATATGTACCATACCATTCCCAAAAATTAGAAATTAAAATTTTTCTTTTGTACACGGTTAAATGAAAGAAAGGATAACAATGACATATAGTAAAGTGTACTCAGCATGGACATTTTTTGGGCTCATTTAATCATATATCATAAGATTAACATAATTTGCTGTTATTATACTATCTACAAACCTATACATCTCTGTAAATGAATGTTATAAAATGCACATATTTTATCCAACAGACTGGAACCGTGTCATATAAATATGAATTTTGAAGTGTTTGATTTTTTTTTTAACAAAAAGTATCTGAGAGTGTATGTTTGAGATGGGATTAGTTACCTAAAAGTCCAGAACAGCTTATGAACAGCATTTTGAGTTTCTCTCAAGAGGGAACCATTAGGGCTGATAGTGCAAATCTGCATTCAGAGTTGCAACCACCTACGACTGATACTGTAACAATGCTGATAGTGGTTATGCATGCAGGATTTTAAAAATAGGATGTGTACAGAACAGATCCACTGATGTCAGTGAGATTTGGACAGGACTATATGGAATATAGTCCATTATGAGTTCTCAGGAATTGGTTTTAAATGCCTATCACTGAACCTTTTCAATTATTTTCAATTATGTCAAAGCAGACTTATAATCTGAGGAATATCAGAATGAAACTCTAGCAATTTGATCTTTAAAAAAAATTATAATCTAAAATCTTTTAAAAAAGCCTGGAATAAACAAGATCCACTTGGCTTGATACTGTAGAAACAAAAAGTCTCTTTTTGCACTGAAAAATATAGCTTCCTGTTTGAATTTACTGAATTTAAACCTGTAGGAACACATATTGAAAAAGCAAGAAAATTACAGCCTGAAAAATATTCCAGGCTGGAACTTCTCAGCTCTGTTCCCAGCCGATAAGCTTGTCCAGCTCAAAGCTAGGGAGAATTTCTCCCAGGGTAATATCTTGGTCAAAATAAAAAGGAATTAATAACAAAGATAGAACACCTGGTGTGGTGTGTGACCAGGCCCTGGGAATGGGGTGTCTTCTCTGTGAACCAATCACCTTTTCTCTACTCTTGGAATTGCGAGTCATGCTACAAAACCAAGTGTGTTCCTGAATAAACTTGTCTCTTTCTTTCCTATCATGAAAGATGACCATGTAGCCGTGCATCTTATTTCCGCAGCACTTAAAGGGTTAAACCCCGTTGCACGGCTACATAAACCTACTGTTGAGTTATAAACTTCTGAAACTGTGAGTTTAGAATGCTAATTATGTGATAAAAGTCAATGCTTACTGCATGTGAATTAAAGTGTTTTGCACTGTCAGACTTAGAAGTATAAAAAGTAAGTCTGGGTTGTCTTTGCAAAGCAGGTAATTGTGTACTCTGCTGGGAAAGCACTTGCCTTTGTGTGCCCTTAAACATCTTCAGCAGATACTACTAAAGGAATAAACCTCTCCTCTTTCCACTCTCAAACCTGATAATGCAGGATGAGCTTTCTAGACACAAGGAATGCATTTTCCATTTCAAAGGGAACGAAGCTGCAATCCACTGCACCCATACAGAAGAGTCACAAATGTTAAATAGCTTAAGTAAGAGCCACAGAGGCAAATGGGAAGATATTATGAAACAGCAGCCAATTCACAAAACTATGTTGCTATTTTCTTAATTTACTGAGACTAGTTTACTGAGATTAGCTCTGTTGGTCAGAGCATGGTTCTAGTAATGCCAAGGCTGTGGGTTTGATCCCTGTATGGGCCATTCACTAAGGAGTTGGACTCAACGATCCATGTTGGCCCCTTCCAATTCAGAATATTCTGTGATTCTCTGAACTTCTTTAATTCTAAGCATTTCTTTGTGAACAATCCCTGCATCTCTGATCCTTCAATGGGCTTTACTTCGGGAATAATCTTGGCCCCAGACCCCACAAACCAGTCATGCATCGTTTAACTTCTGGAAGAGTTCTTCTGATTCTTCTGATGGGACATGAATATGTCCATAGCTGGAGGACTGAGGTCCATGGCTCTAATCCTGCAGGGGTCTGCAGAGGTACTGTACACGTGTATGAAGTCTGGCTACTTTAATGCTACAGGGCAAAACAATGTAAACCAGTGCAAATAATTCTCTTACACACCAATAGCACAAGTACTGTCCCTATGAGTGATTCACAAGCACATTCACATTCAGATAAACAATTTGTCCCCAAGGTAAAAAAAAAAAAATCCACATTTGATTTATGTCTTAAATAACAAAAAGCTGCCACAGTAGGCTGAATAATGAAACCCTAACTTCTGGGTTTTTTTTCTTGATGTGCATTAAAAATAATTGAGAGGGAAAAAACGCATTTTTGCATGCCAAACAGAGAAAAGATAGGCTTCTCATTCTTAGGAAGACAAGAAGTTAGAGAGGGAAAACCAAACATCAACAAGGAATTTAAGGAGATTGGTGGAAAAATATACCTTATGGTTTAACATAAAGGATTTTGTAGAATTTTAGGAAGCTTTTACCTGGCTTTCATTTCACTTTTTTGAAAACATATGTCCATACATTTTTAAAAAGACATTCTCAAACACCAACTATACAGAGAGCTCTTAAAAGAGAAACAAAAAAGAGAACATGCAAAACAGTAAGAAAAGGGGAGCTCTTTTCCTGTTATCTTATACACTTGCAAACCTCTTCTCACATTTTCTTAAAGTCTTATAAACCTTTGCATAGGGAACTGAGAATCATTATGTTCAGACAAATAATTAGGTAATGTAAATCTATGATTTTCAGTTGGACTAGAAGTGGTTTTAAAATGTTT